CATTGCTGACCAAATCTCTGCTAGAAGACAGAGCTTTTTATGACATCAGGCAGAAATAGTTCCCGCAACTCGAAAAATCAAAACTGGTTAAAAAACGATAATTACCTATTTATCCATTCATATCTATCGATGGGGCAGGAAAGTTCTTGAGTGGCGACCACGAGCCGGAAGACAGCGTGGGCGGGCCTCCCACTAGGCGGACCGACGATCTGGTGAAGGTCGCGGGAGGTGCCTGGATGCGAGCGGCGCAGGACCGGTCTTTGTGGAAATCTTTGGGGGAGGCCTTTGTCCAGCAGTGGACGTCTTTCGGCTGAAACGAACGAACGATCCATCAATGTCCGTCTGTAACCTTTCATGCACTACTGAACTATTAGATGAGGTTCATACCTCGAGAAAAATCTAGGATAGTTTCTAAGTTTCTATAAATATTTCAAAATAACTATCGTGATCTTCATAAACCATGCTCTACCATCAAATATACAAGGTACAAGGATAAATTATAAGGTCCGTGACCCTCGACACTGGGTTATGACCTCGAAATGCACATCGAATACCGATTCGAGGTTCGCTAGTTCGATACCCGAGTGCTGGACTGCCCCTGGTGGCATGCATATAAGAAGCCTCTTATTATTATTATTTTTTTATTACTGTTTTTTCTTTCTTCTGCTGTTTTTGGTTTAAATTCAAAGTTGTGATTACTGTATTATGTTATTGTATTGTGTAAAGTCCACGGGTTGCTTACATTATAATATGTATTATGTATGCTGTGGTTATTGTTTGCGTGGGAGCAGTTAGCTAGAGACCTTTGGCTTAATTTTTTGTTTTATTGTGTTTAATGCTGTATCTCATGTTGATAGCCCAATAAAAATAAATAAATAAATAGATAGCCTGGACAAATAAATAAATTTTGACTCTGACTTTGACTTACATGCGCTTTTTTTGTTACAGATAACCCCACGATGACTTCCGCGAGTGACAACGCGAAATAAGTGACAAGTGTAAATTCAAAGTTTTTGTAAGAAGTTAAATTAAATTAGTGTACACATGTGTGAGAAAGGGGTAAAGGAGAAGATGACCAACATCACGCCGGAGACCCGGATCATGATGATGCGGTCTGTGGATGGCAGGAGCAGCTATAGGAGACAGGTAATTTTAGTACTCTACTAAAGCCTGGTCCGTGAGCACGTAGAATTTTGTCCAATGACCCCAAACTACCCATCTTTATCTTTGTCGCGCTCGCATACTCACTGCGGGCGCGCGTCGCACAGTCGCGACAGCAATATAATTACGCGCGAGTGATAAGGATGGGTAGCTTGGGGTCATTGGACAAAATTCTACGTGCTCACGGACCAGGCTTTACCTACAAATATCGCGCACAGCTAAGTTCCTACTGTAATGGAGCGTGGTGCGGGAAAATACACCACGTGTTGTTATTACGTTAAAGGACGAAGTACACTTATCAATCCGGAAACGTATTACTCGAGTATACTACAGTAAACTCGAGGCGGTCAGTATTCTTTGTATGAAACTCCATACTGCAACGCATTCCGCATCGTAACGTAAACGCCTCGTCTCAATACGGTGTTGATCCCTTTCCGGGTTGATCGAGATGCGCGCCACGGTAAACTTTTATAGTGGCATTTTATCGATTTTTCACGATAAGCCATTAATACATTATTGTCGTCTAAAATCGTCGATAAGATTTTATCGTGGCGCACATCTTAGTACCGCTGTAGACTGCAACAGCTTCGTTACGTCACAAGTCACTTCTACCGCACACAGCAGGAACCAGCCTATATTTATTTGTCCACGAAAAATTGGCATGCAAAAATTGACAACGCATTAAATTTTTCTTCAGCATGACCAATGAAGATAATCGGCCTGGGTAAGACCCAGATTGCCGGATTTCAATCCAAGCTGTTTTCTTTTTGACGATGCACTTAAGCTTAGCCATTTTAAATATTTAGAAGTAGAGATACTACCCTAGTTAGTGTCTTTATGCCCAAGACATGAAATGAAAAAATGCAATAAAACCTTATCACGCATTCTTTGATAGCTATATTATCACTGAAATTAAAAGTAAGGCAAATACGGTATTGTACAAATACCATACAATATCCAATAACGAGCCGCTCAAATAGCTTCATTGTTTAATAACACTTATTAAAACAATTATGGCGTACCCAGCCGTCCATTTTCCTAGTGACATAATAATCTCTACCACTATCTCTTTCTCAACCAACACCTTACTATCGCACTGGCATCTATTTCTAAGGCTATAAGGTCTAAATTATAGTGAAATAAACGTTTTAATTGGGCGCGGAAAGGGACAGAATGTATGGCAGTGTGCCGGTCGTTGACCCCACGAAATGCTGTACAATCTAGCGAACGCTTTCAGATAAAGTGCATAGTGTTGTTTGTAATTCGTTTGTTTGTTAATCGATATCGATGAAAATATTTTTGGATAAAGAAGCAGAAAGCAGAGCGTACCTACTTATTTTTACCCTGCCAGAAAAACTTCTCTAAAAACTNACCGATCCGTCTGAATTTTTACTTACTGATAAACCCTGGGAAAAAGCCCTAACCTGTTTAGATTAGAGGGCTTAGGCCCGGTTTTTTGATTCGTAGTTAAAATAACCAATGGTCAAATTTGACAGATGTCAAATGACAAGTGGTTAAATATCAGAAAAAAATGTTTTTCGAACAATGGTTAGCTTGCCTTTTAGTACATTTTTTAACTATTTGTTTACATTTTGTTAATATTTAACCATTAGTAGCAAAATTTAACAATTAGTTATTTTAACTAAGAATCAAAAAACTGGGCCTTAGTGTGAGTTTACATCAAACGTCCTCACTAGCGAGTGCGTAAAAAAAATAAAAAGTATATGAAAATTTTAGTTCTTTAAAGTTTCCGCTAGGGGCGCTGTACAATCCGTCATACATTGAATGTCATTTTTACGCGCTCACTAGTGACGATGTTTGACTTAATGTTTGTCAATGTTTTGTATAATGTTATTTTTTTTAATTTAAATGTTGGTTGGAGAGGCACCCGCTGAAAACCAGCGTCGGGGCACGCGTGCATGCACGCGTGGCTCGATTAATGCTGAGCGAGCGCCTTTTTGGCACAAAAATATGCGTGTATAGTTTTAAGTTCCTTTGTTCTAGTTTTTATTTTTTCTTTTTGTGTCAAATACAGTTTTTCTTATCTTATCTTATCTTATCTTATGTAAACTCACACTAAGCCCTCTGATATCCCTTGGGGTGTATTTTTTTTTAGTTTGAGAACCATAGATTTCAGTTAATCTTGGCATTCGGTACAGACGAGGGCACGTCAAGTTAAATACTGACATCTTAATGTACTAGTAATAAGGTCGATTTTTCAACAAAAATGTGTAGTTTGTTCTGCTGTAAGCACTAATTACTTATCTAGCTTATCGTAAGCTTATAAGGCGGTTGATAAGTTGGCGTTTAAAATATTTGGAAGTAGATTAGTGACGTCATTGGAGTTAGATTAAGTGGAGTTTTGGGTTTTTGGTGTCAAGAATTTTACACATGCCTCCTTTTCTTTGTTTATTTACAAACTAATATTAAAAATTCTAAAATAAAATCGTCAATCTATTTTTTTGGTTACTCCTGAATTTAAATTACAGATTTTAAAATAAAGTCATGCATGTGTCATGTGACATGGCATTCCAGTAATTTAAAAAAGTTCAGGGCCTATTTACATTGGTGACCAAATCTCTGCTAGAAGACAGAGCTTTTTATGATATCAGGCAGAAATAGCTCGAAACTCGAAAAATCAAGGTTAGAAAACGATAAATTACATATTTATCCATCCATATCTATCAATGGGGCAGGAAAGTTCTTGAGTGGCGACCACGAGCCGGAAGACAGCGTGGGCGGGCCTCCCACTAGGTGGACCGACGATCTGGTGAAGGTCGCGGGAGGTGCCTGGATGCGAGCGGCGCACGACCGGTCTTTGTGGAAGTCTTTGGGGGAGGCCTTTGTCCAGCAGTGGACGTCTTTCGGCTGAAACGAACGAACGAACGAACGATCCATCAATGTCCGTCTGTAACCTTTCATGCACTACTGAACTATTAGATGAGGTTCATACCTCGAGAAAAATCTAGGATAGTTTCTAAGTTTCTATAAATATTTCAAAATAACTATCGTGATCTTCATAAACCATGCTCTACCATCAAATATGCTAAGCAGATAATAATAGTAGGCGGCTCTACAAGGATAAATTATAGGGTCCGTGCCCTATGACTTTGGGTTATGACCTCGAAATGCACATCGAATACCGTCGCTGGTTCGATACCTGATGCTGGACTATTGTGGTGACCCTACTAATTTAAGCTTATATGTTTTTGACTCTACATGGTTTAGACAAAGTCGATCTATCTGTTTGTACGCTTAGATCTTTAAAACTGTGGATTTTAATGCGGTTTTCATCAATATACAGGGTGTTAGGTAAATGGGTATATGAGCCGACACTAGCCCATGTTAGCATGGGCATATAAATGGTATGGTAAAGTCAGAAATTTGATATCATCATTTTATTTTTTTAAATTTTCATACAAAATAATTTTATTAAATCCGATTTGTATGAAAATTAAAATAATTAAAATGAAGATATCAATTTTCTGACTTCACCATACCATTTATATGCCCATGTTAACATGGGCTAGTGTCGGCTCATATACCCATTTACCTAACACCCTGTATAGAGTATTTTAAGAAGGCTTAAGCATTGCAGCCAGCATGACTCACTCACTGATTAACTCACTCACTCATCATGAAATCTCAGAAACCACAAGTGCTAGGAGTCTCAAATTTTGCATGGGGGTTCCTTTTAGAACGTAGGTGCTCTCTAAGACGGGATTTTACAAAAATCAACCCCTAAGAGGGTAAAACGAGACACGCGTACAAAGTCGCGGGCAGCCGCTAGTAATACCATAAAACTTTGTCCTAAAATTTGTATTTTTGTTACAGATAACCCCACGATGACTTCCGCGAGTGACAACGCGAAATAAGTGACAAGTGTAAATTCAAAGTTTTTGTGAGAAGTTAAATTAAATTAGTTCACACATGTGTGAGAAGGGGGTTAAGGAGAAGATGACCAACATCACGCCGGAGACCCGGATCATGATGATGCGGTCTGTGGATGGCAGGAGCAGCTATAGGAGACAGGTATGTAAAGCTTCAACCACACCAACGCGTGCAGAGCCCCGATTACGGTAATTTTTACAAGCTTTATATTGACTTCACTTGAGTATGTGTGGGACAAATCTTGCAACTGAATTTAAGACCACTTCTTCTCCACCGATTGAGCTGAAATTTGGTATACTTATGTAAGTACGATGACAATGCAATATTATGGCACCATTGAGCTGGTCTGATGATGGAGTCGGGAGGTGGCCATAGGAACTCCTAAACAAAACGGCGGAAACTCATCGAGTTTGGGTTCGTTGGATTTGTGTTTTCGAGCACTTTAGTGTTAGATAATGTCCAGGGTCCTGAGATTAAGATATAACTAAAAAGTGTAAAATAAAATTATAATAAAAATAAACTTTTTTAAAAACAAGCTTTTATTCTGAATATCGAAAGCTTGTAGCGCAAACAGAGAAAAAGAGGGATAAATTCCATGCGCGATACAAGCTTTCGAAATTCAGAATAAAAGCTTGTTTTTAAAAAAGTTTATTTTTATTATAATTTTTTATCGTCTCCAATCCAGACACGCTTCTCGATTCTGCGATACGATTGGTCGTTCAACAGCGTACGTCAGCTGTTTTGACCAATCGTATCGCAGAATCGATGAAGCGCGTCTGGATTGGAAACGTTAAAAGTTACCGTAATCGGGGCTCTGATCGCCATCGCCGGCGCGATCAAAGGCCAATGACAGGTCGCGCGACCCATGACAGATCACGTGGCCTGTCATTTCCCTATGATCTGCACGCGTTGGTGTGGTTGAAGCATTATAAGTGCCAAATATTGATCGTTCGTTCGTTCGTTTCAGCCGAAATATTGATCAACATTTTATAAATAGTTTTCTTTTAATGTCTGTAATAATGGCATAACGCATAGCTGATAGGTTCCTGAGGAAGTAGAACAGTGCGGATGGAGTGAGTTTTGCTAAGATTTCAGACAGCTCTGTCACATATCATAATTTTACCTCTCACTATCAGAGGAACCTAATCAGTTTTAGCGCTATACACATCATTACATAGTTTATAAATATGACAAAGAAAATAACATTTGATTAAGACATTCATAACTATCCTTGTTAGTTTCCTGAAAATGAATTAATGAAAATTCATATATTTACGTTTGTTCTGTAAGAAGTAGGCACCTGCATGCAGGTAAGGTCTGGGGCATTACACATAAGCAATGATAAAACTAATACACAACATTTTTAACTAAAAGAAGTTGAACCATAATTCAACAGGAAAAAGAAAATTTCAGCAGCACTCTTTAAAATCCAGAATTTTTTATTTTCATTTTTACACTGTGGCATATTATTCGGCATTGCAATAAAATACATCCTAGTTTATTTACTGTACAAATACCATAGAGATCCAATAACGGGCCGCTCAAATAGCTTCATTGTTTAATAACACTTATTAAAACAATTATGGCGTACCCAGCCGTCCATTTTCCTAGTGACATAATAATCTCTACCACTATCTCTTTCCCAACCAACACCTTACTATCGCACTAGCATCTATTTTTAAGGCCATAAGGTCTAAATTATCGTGCAATAAACGATTTAATTGGGCGCGGAAAGGGACAGAATGTATGGCAGTGTGCCGGTCGTTGACCCCACGAAATGCTGTACAATCTAGCGAACGCTTTCAGATAAAGTGCATAGTGTTGTTTGTAATTCGTTTGTTTGTTAATCGATATCGATGAAAATATTTTTGGATAGAGAAGCAAAAAGCAGAGCGTACTTAATTTTACCCTGCCCGTAAAACTTCTCTAAAAACTTCACACTATTTTTTTTTAAACTTAGTTATGTATAGAAGACAGAACCCCCTTTAATATCCCATTTATAAAGTGCAGGTAGACTTCTGAGTTGATTTATTATGTTAATGTAACAGTGACTTATTCTAATCGCACGAATACATCACAGCTAGATGTTATTTTACTATATCTGACATTACGTATCATAGGATCAACCTACGCAATCTCTTAGACGTATTTTCCCCAAATGATTATCTGCTATGCTATGCATAACAGCAAGTTCAAGATTTCTTTTGATTGCCATCGATTAATTCATTTTCCAAGGATTTACATTCGATAATCGGAACTAAATGTTAAAATGAAATCGATTCGAGACAGATTTTGCTCCAGGCTCATTTCTATTAAATGTCCATTACTAACTAAGCGCACTGCCAAGAAATGTCTGTATCGAATTATTATAATTAGATTCTGATTACGATAAGTAGTTTCCTTAATCGTAGCTCTCAGATAATAATCATAGTGCGGCGTGTTAAGAGAATGTAGACGAATAAATCTCGACTATTTCGAATTAAAGGTTGATTGTCGCGGTAACACTCAATTTTCGTTAAGCGGTAGTAGCGACAAGCCAATCATTTAACAGAGGAAATGTCAGTGTTTTTGACAGCTGCAATTGTTTTTAATTCGAAAAGTATGTTACAGTTACATAACATAATTGGATAGTATCGATTTAGTCATCCAGATAGTGAAAGTCGATTTAGATTTATTGTAACCGGTCTTGTAAGGGCCGGACTGTAATCGATCCATTGTAAATTAGAACTTAAAGGGTTCCAGTCGTTACGAGAACTTGTTATGAATCGGAACTGGCCAATGATTAATCGATGTTTAATTTAATATGAGAAAGTGTAAATATCGATTAATAAGTGACTCGGTGCCTTGTTTGTATAAGCGGGATAACTTATCTTAGTAAAAGTGATTGATTCTTTCCGACTGTTATGTATACTNTATAGAAACACTTTAAACTTAATTTTCATTGTTCCAAGACGACTGAACAATACAAAATAGTGTTCATTTATTTGTACATATTACGTAAGTCGTAAACATTAACAAGAAAAGTTACAGAGTAGATTTATTAGTTAAGATTTTATTAGATGAAAATATTGAGAATAAAATTATTTTGGCAATGTAGATATACATAGATAAGAAGGTTTTCACTAACTATTCGACATTAAAATCATATGCTGGTAAAATAATCTTATTCTCGTACTAATCACACTAACATTTTTCGTTTTGAGAGAATTGAACCCGGAAACGTGATTTTTTTTATCGATATCGACAGTTTTCCCTTCTAACACATCCCTATGCGTCCATTCACACTAGCACATGGTGTTTGGAACATTGATCGATTCGTGCATTCCGTGTTGTGGATTCGAAACACCCTATATATCTTGTAGCAGCGCATGTATGTGGGTTGCATACAAGATACATCGTTCTGAACATCATTTATTTATAGACTAGCTTTGAAGAAAGAAGAAGAAGAAAGAAAAATATTTTATTTGGCCCAACATATTAAATTATTACAGTAAACAGTTTACAGTACTTGCACATTTGTGGACCAAAATGGCATCCGCTCAGCATTGTGTCCTGCTCTGAGGTAGACCCAGAACAGGACGCTGTTGTTCTGCGGAGGCCACTTTTTTAAAAGAGCGTCACATTGGACGCCATAAACATTGGCATTTTTATTTTAAAATTATATAAGCTTATACAAAGCTTCAACAATTACATAAATTTGTAGGTGTGTGTGCTAGCTGTATGTGTTAGGTGTGTGTGTTAGGTGTATGTGTTAGGTGTGTGTGTTGGGTGTATGTGGCTTGTGTGTGTGTCAACAGAAAGTGCTAGATGTGTCAAAAAGTTATGTTTGTGTAATAAAGGGAAGAGATGCAGAACAACTACTCAGGCAATAGACATTTGTTCGTCTAATAGAAATTTCTTTAAATTACGTTTGAAAGTAGCATTTGATTTGCTTATGGCTTCGCCCGCATCCATTTCAGTCGGTCAGAAAAAAGGCTTTGCCTTGCCGACCTAAGTTTTTCCATACTCCATTCCCTGTTTCATTCAGTTTAATTTTGCATTGCATTAACCGCGATTTGTTTCGGTTTCTTTGGTTCTACAGATCTCCTCAGTTATGATTCAATCACGACGTAGTAAACTCCGAGCATAGCACGCACATACCATTGGCAACACGCGCTGTAAGACTCTACCTAGAGAAAATAAATGAGTTTTATAATGTTTTTTTACCGGGATGCGTACATCGTCGCTGTGGAAATCCTAGGGGAAAAAGGCATCAGTGGGCATTTTATTTGAAATGAACCTTTTTGAGACAGTCCGAAATTCTAACTTCTGCCCGGAATTGTTCAATAAGAGTTTTGCGAGTTGTGACTGAAAATTAAAGTCATTTTTTATTATACAGGGTGTTAGGTAAATGGGTTTATAAACCGACACTAGCTCATATTAACATATAAATATAAATGGTATGGTGAAGTCAGAAAATTGATTTATCTAATCATTTTAATTTTCATACAGATCTGATTTTATTTATTTTGGCTTTTAAACCCAATTACCTAACACCTGTAGAAGAAGTTCTAAAAGAAGCTAACTGAGCTTTGTATAGTAAACGACAGACTCCTTCATCTCTCTCACAGTTCCTGGCAGATCGCGGTCTCCCTTGGGTCCTTATCAGCAGTATCTAACTATTCTCCTGTCTCTCGCACAGATCCTGGCTTCTATTTTCAGTAATTAATTGACGATACACTCCCCTAACTATTCCCATCTCTCTCAACTATTCGCAGCTCTCGTGGTGTCCCTCGGGACGTTCTCGGCAGTGTCTCTTCTGAGTCCGCCCTAAACTATCTTCATCTCTCACATAAATTTTGGCAGGTCTGGCGGTCTCAGTCCCTCATACCCTTCTCAGTGCAATCTACTGAGTCTAAGAGTCCTTTCTTACTACCTTCATCTCTTTCAGATCCTGGCAGCTCTCGCGGTGTCCCTCGGGCCGTTTTCAGCGGGACTCAGCAAGGGGTACATGTCGCCAGCCATCTCCTCCATGCAGGAGCCTCGGACGGACGGGTTCCCGGTCAGCGACCAGCAGGCCAGCTGGGTGGCTAGCCTCAGTTTGTTGGGTGAGTCTAGATTTTGAATAACTGCAGTGCGGGTGATGTTTGTGCTTCATAGATTTATTAAATGTAGAACCAAAGTAGAGTAGGATTTTTGTACATAGTATGTGATAAAGAATGTCTAAAAGTTTCTGTTGTTTTTTAACGTAGACACAGAAGAAATATTGGTACGTGGGTACTTTTTTTTAACATTATTATTATGCATATATTAGTTTTTACTGCGTGATATTTTAATGCATATTTTAAAAAGGCGTCCGCGTTTTATCATTAAAATTAGAATAAAATGTCTGACTATCGCTTTGGAAACAATATGTAACCACAGGTGTAACGTAGAGTCAAGGAAGCTCAGATTGCAAGGGTGCCCTATTGAATTATCTTAATAAAAAAACCATCCAAAAAAGTCAGGATCAGTAGTGACTGGAAACCGATTAATTGGGGATCTATATTCATCTCTTAAACTCATTTTTACCTCTCAATCTGAACCGAGTGTACTAACATTCAATCTCATAGCAGTCATAGCACTTGATCTTGACTTTCCAATTGAGTTATGTAACAAAACCCATTCAGTTTTCAATAAGCCGAGGAAGAATTTTACGAGGTTTCCGCAGAAACTAATTTGTTTTCTGTGCAGTTGCAAACGCACTGCGCGGTAAAGTATCGCACAATGGATATCGCGACAGTTGGTAATATAAACACATGCTTTGAAGGCTGTCGGAAGTACTGAAGTTAGAATGAAGACTTTTGTCTAAGGTTTGGTACCTAGTAAGGTCAATAATAAAAAGGTAATTTTAAAAAAATCTTAACAGAAAATACTAAACGAAACGACATTATAGAAAACATTAGTTTTAGGCTTTACTTGTTATTATTATGGTACGAGTATTATCATCAAGAGATGAGAGCAATGTGACTATATTATATGTATGGAAGCTGGAAATATTGAATTTTCTGATAGAGTTCGTCAGCACTTTCAGAATTAGTAACCAGTTTATCGATATCTTGTATAGTTTAGAAATAATCGAGTGAGATCACTTATCTTTTCCACCACCCTGTATAGTTCTTCAAGGCTTTTTTGTTGCTGAATTTTGGCATAGCTGTAGAGTCTACTCTATACCATAAACAAACAAAGTTCTTTAATTTCGCAATTTGGCACACATATTCAAAGAAGATGGCCGTTTTATTGTTAATTTCCAAAGAATTGTGCAATTTCACTTTTGTCACCCTTGAGATGTATTGTCACCGTGACGAGAGACTGGTTTGCTTACCCACTCCTAAGATCAGGGTTGTCACTCATGTGTAATTAACATTTCAATATTTTACTAGCCAAAACAAATTAAGGAGCAGTTACTCTTTAAATCTGTTTGCATCAGAATCTGGCAGAATTAGTAAAACGCATTTAACTTAAAAAAAAAGAATAAGCGTCTAAAACTGAAACCACTGGTTTCAGTTTCAGTCTTTATTTATAATTTATAAAGATTTTCTTTATCTTTAAAAATAAGTATATCATGGATGTCAAAATAATGCGTTTGTTTTTTTAAGGTATAATTGCAATTAACCTACACTACACTGTACATATTAAGTTTTTTTTTAATTTTTGGAAGAACAGGAAATTTTTTAAAGACAATTTAATGACCTGTGCTTTTAGTTGGCAACCCTAATGTATTACTTTCACTTCGCTAAAATTCGCAAATGACGCAAAAACTTGGTCAATAGATAAAGACCGACTTTGGACAGTCATTACCTACTATTCAGTCTACCTAGAGTTTAAGTAGGTACGCAACTTACTTAAGTATAGTGCAACGTAATACATACACTCAGGAACGGGAACATACCTACATAAAATGTTTAAATAAAACAAGAGTTATAGCAAANTGTATACTAACGCTTTAATATTAATTTTCATTATTCTAAATAAGATGTAACAATTTAATAGAGTGTTATTTTGTTTGTTTCGTAAGTCGCAACCATTAACAACAAAAATTACGAAGTAGATTTATTGGATAAATAAGATTTTATCGGATATAATAATTTTAATTTTGGCAATGTAACTATTATAAGTAAAAAATGCAGGTAAAATAGTAAAATGCTCGTTCTAATCACACTATCATTTCATATCGTTCTGCGGGATTTGAACCCGGAAACGTGGTATTTTTTTATCGATATCGACAGTTTTCCCTTCTATCACATCCCTACGCGTCCATTCACACTAGCACATGGTGTTTGGAACATTGATCGATTCGTGCATTCCGTGTAGTGGATTCGAAACACCCTATATATCTTGTAGCAGCGCATGTATGTGGGCTGCATACAAGATACATCGTTGAACATCACTTATTTATAGACTAGCTTTGCTTATGGCTTCGCCCGCATCCATTCAGTCGGTCAGAAAAAAGGCTTTGCCTTGCCGACCTAAGTTTTTCCATACTCCATTCCCTGTTTCATTCAGTTTAATTTTGCATTGCATTAAACGCGATTTGTTTCGGTTACTTATTTATTTATTTATTTAATGAGCAACATAATAAGCTTACAGAAAACCTAAAGCGCTTACATGTTTAGTCACCACAATATCGATTACAATAAAATTATAAGTCAAAAAATTATACACATTATTAAATTCTGTTTAAACAGAGTTAATTAATAAACAAATTGTTTTTTTTTTTTTACCGGGATGCGTATATATTGTCGCTGTGGAAATCCTTGGGGAGAAAGGTCCATCAGTGGGCCTCTTTTATTTGAAATGAACCTTTTTGAGACAGTCCGAAATTCTAACTTCTGCCCGGAATTGTTCAATAAGAGTTTTGCGAGTTGTGAAGTTGTGACTGAAAATTAAAGTTTTTTTTATCATACAGGGTGTTAGGTAAATGGGTTTATAAACCGACACTAGCTCATATTAACATATAAATATAAATGGTATGGTGAAGTCAGAAAATTGATTTATCTAATCATTTTAATTTTCATACAGATCTGATTTTATAAATTTTATTTTGGCTTTTAAACCCAATTACCTAACACCTGTAGAAGAAGTTCTAAAAGAAGCTAACTGAGCTTTGTATAGTAAACGACAGACTCCTTCATCTCTCTCACAGTTCCTGGCAGATCGCGGTCTCCTTTGGGTCCTTATCAGCAGTATCTAACTATTCTCCTGTCTCTCGCACAGATCCTGGCTTCTATTTTCAGTAATTAATTGACGATACACTCCCCTAACTATTCCCATCTCTCTCAACTATTCGCAGCTCTCGTGGTGTCCCTCGGGACGTTCTAGGCAGTGTCTCTTCTGAGTCCGCCCTAAACTATCTTCATCTCTCACATAAATTTTGGCAGGTCTGGCGGTCTCAGTCCCTCATACCCTTCTCAGTGCAATCTACTGAGTCTAAGAGTCCTTTCTTACTACCTTCATCTCTTTCAGATCCTGGCAGCTCTCGCGGTGTCCCTCGGGCCGTTTTCAGCGGGACTCAGCAAGGGGTACATGTCGCCAGCCATCTCCTCCATGCAGGAGCCTCGGACGGACGGGTTCCCGGTCAGCGACCAGCAAGCCAGCTGGGTGGCTAGCCTCAGTTTGTTGGGTGAGTCTAGATTTTATTATGATTGCAGATGAAGCGATTTTTGTGTTTCATAGATTTATTATGTAACTAGCGGCCGCCCGCGAATACATAAAATTAAAAATTCATAAAATTCTAATAAATCGTGGATCCCGTTTTACCCCCTTAGGGGTGGAGTTTCGTGATCTCTACCACTATCCTTCTGAGTTTCGTTTCCTTTCTTAGCGGATGCCTACGTCATAACATCTACCTGCATGCCACAGCCCGATCCGTCTAATGGTTTGAGCTGTATATATTTAGATTATGTAATACTCGCAGTGTACGATTATTACATACGTATCTATATGAGAAAGAATAAAGCTTTTCTCTTTGTGTATTTTTTTATTAAACGTAGACGCAAAACGACGCTGGTACGTTTTCGGCGCTCTAATCTTAATGTTTGATGAGTTTTAACATAATGATCCATGGATTTGTTTTATCTGCATAAGTGATATGGTGCATATTTGAAACAGACGTCAGAAAATAACTAAACAGGCCTAAGAAAGGTTTATCGTGATGACCGCATTAGAAATGGGCTCTATCAGCTCATTTTTGGGCGCTCAAACAATGGGAACATCAGAATTTAAGTAAGAAAGTCCGTTTTAAAAGGGGCACCTATGTATACTAATGCAGTTTTGGAGGCCTATTTAATCGTTTAACCTGATACCTACATAATTTTTTAAACTCTCTATTTATTCTCAGTGTACTAATCCAATCATAACTCTTGATCTTGACTTTCCAATTGAGTTATGTAACAAAACCCATTCAGTTTTCAATAAGCCCAGTTTTACGAGGTTTCCGCAGAAACTAATTTGTTTTCTGTGCAGTTGCAAACGCACTGCGCGTTAAAGTATCGCACAATGGATATCGCGACACTTGGTAATATAAACACATGCTTTGACGGCTGTCGGAAGTATTGAAGTTAGAACGAAGACTTTTGTCTGAGGTTCGGTACCTAGTCAGGTCAATACAAAAAGGCTTATAATTTAAAAAATATTTTTAAAAAAACTAAGCTATGCGACGTCGCCAAAATTATTTATAGAAAACAAGTTTTAGGCATTACATGTTATGGTACGAGTATTATCATCAAGAGATGAGAGCCATAATATGTGGCTGTACTAAATGTATGGAAGATGGAAACATTGAATTTTCGGATAAAGTTCGTCAGCACAATAATTAGTACCTAACCAATTTATCGATATCTTTTAAGTATAGTTAGAAATGATTGAGTGAGATCACTTATCTTTTCCACCCTGTATAGATCTGGTGAAGGTCGCGGGAAGCACCTGGATGCGGGTGGCGCAGGACCGGTAGTTGTGGAAATCCTTGGGGGAGGCCTTTGTCCAGCAGTGGACGTTATTCGGCTGAAACGAACGAACGAACGTTCTTCAAGGCTTTTTATTGATGAATTTTGGCATAGCCATAGAGTCTTCAAACAAAACTCTTTC